GGAACGCGCATTGTAGTGTGAGGGGGCCCCGGAACGCGCATTGTGGTGTGAGGGGGCCCCGGAACGCGCATTGTGGTGTGAGGGGGGCCCCGGAACGCGCATTGTGGTGTGAGGGGGGCCCCGGAACGCGCATTGTGGTGTGAGGGGGGCCCCGGAACGCGCATTGTGGTGTGAGGGGGGCCCCGGAACGCGCATTGTGGTGTGAGGGGGGCCCCGGAACGAGCATTGTGGTGTGAGGGGGGCCCCGGAACGAGCATTGTGGTGTGAGGGGGGCCCCGGAACGCGCATTGTGGTGTGAGGGGGGCCCCGGAACGCGCATTGTGGTGTGAGGGGGGCCCCGGAACGAGCATTGTGGTGTGAGGGGGGCCCCGGAACGAGCATTGTGGTGTGAGGGGGGCCCCGGAACGAGCATTGTAGTGTGAGGGGGGGCCCGGAACGAGCATTGTAGTGTGAGGGGGGCCCCGGAACGAGCATTGTGGTGTGAGGGGGGCCCCGGAACGAGCATTGTAGTGTGAGGGTGGCCCCGGAACGAGCATTGTAGTATGAGGGGGGCCCCGGAACGAGCATTGTGGTGTGAGGGGGGCCCCGGAACGAGCATTGAAGTGTGAGTGGGCCCCGGAACGCGCATTGTGGTGTGAGGGGGGCCCCGGAACGAGCATTGTAGTGTGAGGGGGGCCCCGGAACGCGCATTGTAGTGTAAGGGGGGCCCCGGAACGAGCATTGTGGTGTGAGGGGGGGGGGCCCCGGAACGAGCATTGAAGTGTGAGGGGGCCCCGGAACGAGCATTGTAGTGTGAGGGGGGCCCCGGAACGAGCATTGAAGTGTGAGGGGGCCCCGGAACGAGCATTGAAGTGTGAGGGGGCCCCGGAACGAGCATTGTAGTGTGAGGGGGCCCCGGAACGAGCATTGTGGTGTGAGGGGGGCCCCGGAACGAGCATTGTGGTGTGAGGGGGGGGGCCCGGAACGAGCATTGTAGTGTGAGGGGGCCCCGGAACGAGCATTGTAGTGTGAGGGGCCCCAGAACGAGCATTGTGGTGTGAGGGGGGCCCCGGAACGAGCATTGTGGTGTGAGGGGGGAGCCCGGAACGAGCATTGTAGTGTGAGGGGGCCCCAGAACGAGCATTGAAGTGTGAGGGGGCCCCGGAACGAGCATTGTGGTGTGAGGGGGGCCCCGGAACGAGCATTGTAGTGTGAGGGGGGCCCCGGAACGCGCATTGTAGTGTGAAGGGGGCCCCGGAACGCGCATTGTAGTGTGAAGGGGGCCCCGGAACGCGCATTGTGGTGTGAAGGGGGCCCCGGAACGCGCATTGTAGTGTGAGGGGGGCCCCGAAACGAGCATTGTAGCATGAGGGGGCCCCCGGAACGAGCATTGTGGTGTGAGGGGGCCCCGGAACGAGCATTGTAGTGTGAGGGGGGGCCCCCGGAACGAGCATTGTGGTGTGAGGGGGCCCCGGAACGAGCATTGTAGTGTGAGGGGGGGGCCCCGGAACGCGCATTGTGGTGTGAGTGGGGGTCCCAGTAGAACAATGTTACACTGCTACTTCTGTGTGCTTTATCTTTAGTAAGAATGTGATAATGTTGTGTGGCAATGCCTTTGAAGCTGATTGACCTACAGCAGAGACATTCTTGTTTCCGATCTGTGTTTGCCATCGCCGATTGAAATCGTAAATTTTTTTAGGCTAATTTTAAGTTATTTCGGTAAATTCACGTAGAAGGGAAACATTAAAATAATAAAAAGAAAACATCATAAAATATTTTATTATGTTTCATTTTTATTTAAACTCACGTAGAAGGGAAATATTAAAATAATAAAAATAAAACATAATGAAATATTATTTGATTATAAAATAAAACATAATGAAATATTATTTGATTATAAAATAAAACATAATGAAATATTATTTGATTACGTTTCATTTTTATTATTTTATTATTTCCCTTCTACGTGAGTTTAAATAAAAATGAAACATAATAAAATAATATTTTATGTTTTATTTTTATTATTTTATTATTCACGTAGAAGGGAAATAATAAAATAATAAAAATAAAACAAAATAAAATTATTCTCACGACGTTTCGGCCACAACGCAAGCAGCCGTCCTCAGGTGAGGAACAGGTCTGTCGAGAAGACAGCGTCTGAATGACCTGTTCTTCACCTGAGGACGGCTGCTTGCGTAAAACATTATTTTATTATGTTTTATTTTTACTATTTTATTATTTCCCTTCTACGTGACTTTACCGAAAGAACCAAGAAGATGAATCCCTGCAGTCACGAAAGCTTTAAATCGAAATTGTATTATGTTTTATTTTTATTATTTCATTATTTCCCTTCTACGTGACTTTACCGAAAGAACCAAGAAGATGTGACCGAAATGTCACAATAAACGACATCAACAACATGTACCACCACACCCTGTAGCCACAGCTGGCACGGGATGGAATCCACCAGCGGATTATGACGTTGAGCAGTGCCGGATGTAGCTGAATCTGGGGCCTGTAGCATATTATGTCATAAAGAGGCCCTGGATATTATATAAGTATAACCCGTAAAAACAAAGTTTTTCACTATAAATCCTTTATATGCGTGGCGGCTAGAGTCCTCTCGTCCTCTGGCTTGAGATGGCTGCCACCTATGGGTCAGATGATTGTCTGCCAGTATTAAGCAATTGGTAATTAAATATTTAATTTGTTTTCCCTAAACAGTGGAAAATTTTGGAAAAATGTTTTCACGAACATTAATTGTCACGCACAACGAGTCTGTGTGCAAAATGTCAGCTCGATTGGATCACGGGAAGTGGGTTAAAAAACGACCGAAAGATTTGCACGGTCCTAAGCAAGCAAGCGAACTTAATATAAAGGATTTAAAAACAAACTTAAATATTAAAGTGACTTTACTGAAAGAAGCAAAGAGTATGGATTGCTGCAGTCACGTAAGCTTCAGATCAAGGTTGAATATTAACACACACACATGTGTAACTTGCACAGGAAAGTAATTTAAACTGGTAGGACCCTCCTGGTGACACCAGCCCACAAGGGATTATTGTGTCCGTCGTGCAGGGAGGGGCTAGGTGGGGTGGGGAGGGTGGGGAGGGGCTGGGTGGGGCTGGGTGGGGAGGGGCTGGTCACCCCGTGGTGCCCTTATAAAACTCAACGTTTCACCTACTCACGCCGGCTTGTGCCCGCCCTCACAGTCGGGCATATTTGCGGAATACACCACGCCGCCGTTGACCCTGCAGGCCATTGACTGAGCAACGCAACGTTACTACCAGCTCCCTCCGCAGATGAATGTGTTCTTTTTAAATCCATTATATTAAATTCGCTTGCTTGCTTGCTTACGACCGTGCAAATCTTTCGGTCGTTTTTTAACCCACTTCCCGTGATCCAATCGAGCTGACATTTTGCACAGACTCGTTGTGCGAGACAGTTAATGTTCGTGAAAAAATTTTTCCAAAATTTTCCAACTGTTTAGGGAAAACAAATTAAATATTTAATTACCAATTGTTTAATACTGGCAGACAATCTGACCCATAGGTGGCAGCCATCTCAAGCCAGAGGACGAGAGGACTCTAGCCGCGACGCATATAAAGGATTTATAGGTGAAAAACTTTGTTTTTACGGGTTATACTTATTATGCTATCGGCATACCCCATTTTCATTGATTATACCCGAAATTAACTCTGTCACTTATGATTGCAAGTTGTTGCAAGTCAGTAACTGCTTTAGTGTTAAAATCTGGTGCTGTATTTTTAGGATTGTGTGTTCAAATCATTTTATGTAGATATCCACATTTAAATATTTTTCTTCTGCAGTTTATTGAAAATGCAATATTTGAGGTCTCAAAAACCTGATGCGAGACGAAAACTGATGTCAGATTTGGAATCGGCACGCCAAAACTACCTTTAACCCGTTGGAATTACCTTATGCCAGAAAAAGCGTGTTGACCAGTGTAATCGAGGTGGGGAGGCGGTGGTTAGCGCCACGAACCCAGCGACCCCAGTGTGACCCCCGCTCACCCAACACAGGCGACGAAGATCTCAACCGGTGCTGGGCCTCGCCTAGGTCGACTCGGCCTCAAAACTGGCCAATTAGGTCTCAACAAAGTCCCAGGATGACGATGCCAACTTTCCAACCAAGGCAGGAAAAGCCTTAAAAAAAACGGAAATCTACCCCACAACTAAAAATCTATTTGTGACATCCACCACCACATCTCGCCAGGGCAGAGAGACACCACCAACACCGAGACCCCCACCCCACCAGAGCCCAGGACACAGCATTGGAGGCGGGGGTTTTGGGGCTGCGTTTCACTTTTATTTCAGATACATAAATTCGCCAGAACATCGAGATAAACACGGGTCCGCATTAAACCACCATCACCACAACCAGCACAACCACCATCTCCACCACCAAAAAGACAAATATCCCTCCACCGTAGCCCCGTGTACATCCC